GTTCCCAGGACAGGGCAGAGAGCAAGGAGGCAGAAGGCAGGGCAGGGCCTGAGGGCAGCAGAGCTGACCACCTTTTTCCATGTCTTCCCCTCCAGTCCTGGACGCACAACATCCAACGTGAGAAGGAGTTCCTGCGGAAGCTGGTGAAAGCACGTGTCATCACGGACCTAAGCAGTGGCATCTGAGCGTGGCCACGGAGGCGCAGAACCCGCCATGAGCAAGCAGCCGCTGCTGCCTCCCCCTGCACAGGAGTCGCCAGACCTATGGAAGGACAGTGCCAAAAGCCCCAGGGGCCCATGCAGGCTCGGTGGGGCAGCCGGAGCTGGGCCCGCTCTGAAGCCAGCCTCAGCCTCGCTGGCAGCCTGGGTCCTTGAGGCCAGAGGCCAGGAGGTCACTGTCTGTACCTGGCAGGCCCAGCATGCAGGAGGTGGGACACTGGGCAGCAGGGCTGCTGCCAGAATCGCTTCTCCAATCAGTGTTTGGTGTATTATCATTTTGTGAACTTGGGTGGGGGGAGGGGAGGGATAATTTATTTTTAGACAAGGTTGGAGATGTCCAGTTTGGTCCACTTGTTATGCACAAGGAGGCACCCCCCAGAGGGCCCCTCAGGCAGTGGTACCACTAGGCTCCCAGTAGTGGGGAGGGAGAAAGTGCCAGGACCAGCCTGTCCCCTGCTCCAGGCCGCCAGAGGTGAGCAGGATCTTGTGCCAGGCCCCTCCAGCTCATGATACTCTCTGGCCTTTCTTATGGAGCAGACGTGGGGGTGGGGGGTTGGAAAATGCTAGAGCCGTTCCCTGGGAACCTCAGCAGCAGCACCTGGGCTAAAGCAAAGAACTCTGGAGCTGAGTGGGCCAAGCCCCTCCCAGCCTTGTGGGGAATGGCTCCCCATCCTGCCCTGGCTGCAGCTCATCTAGAGGACAGTGCCCTGGGCCTGGGGCCCACAGCTGGTGAGACGTTCAGGTCTCGGCAGTGAGGCTACCACGTCCTTGGGTTCTGCCTTCTGCCTGGACCGGAGGGCTGGGAGGCACAAGGCTCCTCCCCGGGGCCGTGGCAGCCCAGGCAGCCCTCGTGGAAGCAATAAAGCTCTTCCCTGAATCTGGGCTCCCTCTTTCTCTGATCTCCCTGGGAATGGGCACCTAGGGGCTCAGCTACTGGGCCAATGGCCTCCTCTGCATCTCTCAGGGTCCTGAGTCCCTCTCTCTGCCCAGGGTCCACCACAGAACCTGGCGCCCCTCAAGACCTGTATCCCCTGCCTCCAGAGACACCAGCCAGTGGAACCAGGGTACGCCACAAGCTCCCAGCACTTCCCAGTGGAGCCAGGGGTGGTACCTACAGTCCCAGGACACAGCTTATGGATCCCCACAGCCACCTATTCTGTAAGCACAGGACGGAGGGGCACACTCACACCCAGAGGCCCCTGACCTCCTCCATGCCTGGTACTCACACACTCAGCTGGAGGAATGGGCTTGGCCTGCCTCACATACACACACCTGCCCTCTGCCCTCTCCTGCACAGAGCACAGGAAGGCACACAGCCCAGCTCGAGGGGAACGTCAGAAAGGACACATACACACACCTTACCCTCCTACGGCCCAGGAATCTGCCCTTTCCCATCTACAGCTCTCCTCCTCCACCCCCAAAGACTGTACACCTCACACCTGCCCTCAAGTTCATGGCGTGAGTTTCCTGCCAGACACTGCCACCCTGGCAGCACACGGGACCCACCAAAGGTATCAACACAGCCCCGTGACTGCCCAGTCAGCTTGAGGTCGGGGCCTCCCCAGCCAAGGGGAAGCAGGGCACACACATGCCTACCTGGATGGTGTGCTCCTGAGTTGTACCAGCATAGGCCGTGTGCCCGTAAGCCTCACCCTCTAAGAGCCTCCAAGCCAGTGGGTCTCCTGCCCTACAGAGGTCCTGCTGAGCCATGTCCATTGCCTCTCCCCTCTGCCAGCAGCTCTACCGTCTCATCCCTGCCCACAGCTGGAGTCCTGCACCCTGGCCCAGCCCCAGCATCACCTGTGCGGATTTGGAAGACTGCACCTGCCCACCCCCAGATTCTGATTCAGGTCTGGGGTGGGGCCCGGATGTGGGTAATTCTGAAAAGGCATAACCCATGTACAACTGGTCCCCACATGCTCCCGCCACACTCGTCACTACCCACAGCTTCCAGCTGTCAGCCAGAACAGACAATTCCCCAGACTGCCCTGGCCAGCCCAGCTCTGTCCACTTCGCTCTGGGCTACAAGTTCAGCTGCTTCCTAGATATTTCTGCTGGGACAATCCGTGGGCCCTTCAGACCCACAGTCCAGCCCTGAACTCCCGAGCTCCTCTCTCTCAAGGCCCCCCTCACCACACACACACACACACACACACCCTCTGCTGAGTGAGGAAGGCCAAAAGCACACAGTGGGTCTTCAGCTTGCACCCCACAGGCTCAGGCACCAAGGGAGCTTTCCCAAGGCTGGGTGTCAGCTGTGGCCTGTACAGCCCCAGGCCCTGCCCTCAGCCCTAATGCAGATCTCCTGTTCACCCCAGCAGCCTCCCCATGCCCAACCCGTTCCTCCTGCCACAGCCAGAGCAACGCATCGGAACACCCCAGTCTACTTAAGACCCCTCAGGGGTCCCCAGGATGAAAGCCCCATTCCCACTCCCCTACACCACTCCCCCACCACACCTGCCCAGCGGCCACAGTTCAGTCTGAAATGCTACCCTCCAGCTCCTGCTTGAAGCCTCGGCTCAAATGTTCCTTGTCTGTGACTCTCCCCTGCTGCGGCCCAGGGCACCCACTTTCGCAGCTCCGCCCTCGGTGCGCGGTGACAGCGGGTTTGCATGTGGGTCCCTCCTTCAAGCCCCAGGCAGCGCGGGAGGTGAGCGGTGGGGCGACCCGGAGCAGAGCAGGGCCCTGGGGTGCAGCGTCGTGGTAAGCTAGTCGCAGGGCCCGCGAGGAGCCGCGAGCCACCAGCGCAGGGCCAGCTGCGGGACCCACAAGGGACCCGCGCGTCTGCACGCCCCAGTGGGCTGCGTAGCCCCGGGCAGGGACCGGCCCTCCCTCCCCGCCCTCGCGCTGCCTCCCGCCCTCGGCCGGCCTCCCAGCTCCCAACTTCGCGTGTCTACAAACTCTGAACTCCCAGTTTCCGCGCCTCTCCGCCGCCCGCGTTCTCCACTCTGCTTCCGGGGGGTCCTCTCCCAGCGTGCACCCCACCACCACCACCTTGGGGGACCTAGCCGAGCCCCAGGAGGACCAGACCCGGCGGGTGGAGCGGCCAGGTGAGCCCTGAAAGGTGGGGCGGGGCGGGAGCGCTCCGGGCCCCACCCCGGGATCCGGTGACGCCGGGGCTGGAATTTGACACCAGACGGCGGCGGGCAGGAGGCTGCTGAGGGATGGAGTTGGGTTCGGCCCCCAGACACGGCCCGCGGGCTCCGCCAGCAGCAGGTCCCTCGGGCCCCAGCCCTCGCCGCGACTCGGGCTCGGAGCCCCACACCGGAGGTAAGGCGGCCCGCTGATCGATGCTCCTGGGGGCCGGATGCTCTCCCTCCCTCTCCTGGGCTCTCAGGCACAGCTCTCTGGCCCTTGCAGCCCCTCTTGTTGCTTGTGGGACCGTGCTAGTCCTACTGGCCTGCTGTAACGTGAGGCTCCCGCTGCTGCTACAGGGCACAACGTGGCTGCCAAGGCCGCACTTGGGGCTAGAAGAGGCGCTGCCAGGTGCACCACGTCCCCGGGCATGAGCCTTCAGAGCTGTGGGGGGAAACCCAGCACTGATTCCAGGAAGGGTGCCTAGAAGAACACGGTGCCAGACCCAGGGTGAGTAGCTGGATGCTGCGGGAGAGGGAACAGGGGCTGCAGGCAAGGCCTTGAGGCCCTAGTGGCCCCAGATCTCCAAGAGTCTGAGCTGCCCCTGCAGCACCTGCTCCTGGGCTCCCCCTAGTGCAGAGGGCGCTAACTAGCTGTCCCGCCACCTGTGGGAACAGCCACCTGCCTGTTGAAGGGGCGGCTGAACCCAGCCAGCCAACAGCGGCAGACTGGCCCCAGAGACCCTCCCGAGGAGGACCTGAGGCCGGTAGTCTCTCAGGTAGGTGGGCAGCTGTGTGACAGCTGTGATGCTGCTAATGAGGGCTGGGGAAGGGTTCCTGGGAACAGGAAAGGATGGCTGGGCTCAGAAGGACGGCTCCCCAGGGAAAAACTAGGAACAAAGCTCAGCTTCCAGCCCCACCTGAGGCTGCAGAGGGGGGTCAGACCTGCAGCAGCTCTGAGAGCAGAAGCCCAGGCTGCTGCAGGGGGCCTGGCTGGACCTGCAGGGAGTGACTCAGGCCTGAGCTGGGCTGAGGTTTGGAGAAGCCCACCCCCAGGCAGTCTACAGGCTTAGCAGACTCTGCCCCCTGGTGGCCAGAGGAGGCCAGGGCCCAGGTCCCAAATTTTCTGAAACCCATCAGCCCACATCCATCTGCCAGCCCCTAAGCGACACCTGTCGTCAGAAAACAGGACCCACGCAGCTGGGGGAACTGAGTGGAGACCACGGAGCAGCGTGGGTGCGCAGCAGAAGCGGAGGCCTCGCACAACTCTCAGGGTGACCGGCAAGCACCCCAGTTCTGCTCCAGACCTCAGCTTCCTCCCCTGCAGCCTTCAGCCCTCTGTGGGACCCAGGATGTCCAGCCAGCCTGAGCAGTAAAAGTTCTAGAGAAAAAGGACCTCCCTCATCCCCCAAGCTCTGTGACCTCAATCTCTGAGCTTCTCTGAGCCTCTAGAACGGATACTAAACCACCATCCTCACCAAGTTGAGGTGGATCTGCTACAAAGCACCTAGCACCACAGCCAGGTTCTCAAGGCAGCTACTTCTCTCCTAGGGCTGAGTCCTGCAGTCCTAGCCCCTTGTTCTTCACCTAGAGCCACAGGTGCAAAGGACGCCTCCTCCTGCCCCCACCCCCCAACCATCCAGTGAGCAAGCAGAGCGGGGAGGAGCAGGTCAGCGCCCGCTGATGGGAGCTCCTGGTGCTGTTAGAGATGGAATTTGGACTTGGAGGCCCTTCTGCGCTGATCCGCTGTCTGTGGCCTAGGCGGCAGGTGAGTGCTGCTTCCAGACGCCCAACTGAGCCCCAGACAGAGGCCACCGAGGGAGGGACCAAGCGTAGGACCTCTCCAGTGTCCTCGGGGACCGACACCTCCCCGGGGCTCCCAGGGTTGGGTCAGCCCAGGCAGTGCACCACCTACTCAGCTACTCCCCTGTGCTCCTTGTCCCCAACCCCGTGCCTCCCTGAGACTCTGTCTGGTCTCACCCGCCGGCACAGCCCACCCTGTGGCCCACCCTGGCCGCTCTGGCCCTGCTGAGCAGCGTCTCGGAGGCTTCTCCCAGCCCGGCACCCCACGAAGGTCCTGCACCGGTCCTGGCACCCCCCACCGGCCACCTGCCGGGTAGGTGAGAGGGCCATGGGCAAGGCGGGGACGGGCTGGCATGGTGGTCATAGGGTAGGGGAACCCCAGCGTGACTCCATCTACTTCCAGGGGGCCACGCGGCCAGCCTGTGCGGCGGAAGATCCCGGCGGGTGCCCCCGCAGCCTCCGCAGCCCGCGCCACCACCTCCCGCACTACCGCCGCCGCCGCCCGTGCCTCTCCGTGGTGGCCGCTTGGCACGAGCGGGCACCCGGGGCAGCCGCGCTCAGACTCAGGCCTCGAGCCAGCGGGGCTGCCGCCTGCGCTCACAGCTGGTGCCAGTGCGCGCCCTGGGCCTGGGCCACAGCTCGGACGAGCTGGTGCGCTTCCGCTTCTGCAGCGGCTCGTGCCGCCGCGCGCGCTCCCCGCACGATCTCAGCCTGGCCAGTCTGCTGGGCGCCGGGGCCCTGCGGGCACCGCCCGGCTCCCGGCCTGTCAGCCAGCCCTGCTGCCGGCCCACGCGCTACGAGGCCGTTTCCTTCATGGACGTGAACAGCACCTGGAGGACTGTGGACCGTCTTTCCGCCACTGCCTGCGGTTGCCTGGGCTGAAGGCGCTCCTTCTACCTCGGGGCTGTTACGCTAAACCTGGCCAGTGCTTCTCTCTGCCTGGGACCCTCCCACCATCGGGCCCCACCTGCCAGGGACCTCTGCAGAGCTGAGAAGCCCCCAACCAGCCCTGGAGACATGGTGGTGACTCCGGGGCCGTGAGCCTGCAGACCCCCAACATGCAGACACCTGGAGACCTCAATGGTGGAGACGAGCGCGCCCTTCCCTGACTCCGGCACTGGCCCGCCTGTGGACTCAGGGAGGACTCCGCTGCAGAACCCGGCCTGGGCCCTGAAGGGCAGAACTCAGAGACATTTTGCCTGTGCTGCAGCTGCCCTTGGGCTCACCTGTAGGACCTGGGCCCCTATTTATTATTTCTAAGTTATTTATTTACTTCTGTGGTGTGTTGGATCCTTTCCTGGTCTTGGGAGTGGTGGGTACAGGTGACTGATGGGCGGGGTGGGGGTGGGGGGGTCCCGACCTACATACTGCTGGCTAACTCCTGGCTAAGACCTCCAACAGCTTGGCCCTTGCCCCCTCGCACCCCACCACCAGCAACAGCTCTGGTACAGCAGGCTGGGAGTATGGCTCCCACTGCTCTGCCCAGTCCCTAGTGCTCCCTGTGGGCAATCAAACTCAGAGCCTTCCTTCTATGGAGCCAGTGTCATCCTGGGGGTGAGGTGGGGGTGCCAACTTGTAGGGTAAAGTGACAGCAGATGCCCACTGCCCTCCCCTACTGTCCTTTCTTTTTTTTTCTTTAAGATTTATTTATTTGTATTACAAAGTCAGATATACAGAGAGGAGGAGAGACAGAGAGGAAGATCTTCCGTCCGATGATTCACTCCCCAAGTGGCAGCAACAGCCGGTACTGTGCCGATCCGTAGCCAGGAACCAGGAACCAGGAACCAGGAACTTCCTCCAGGCCTCCCACGTGGGTGCAGGGTCCCAAGGCTTTGGGCCGTCCTTGACTGCTTTCCCAGGCCACAAGCAGGGAGCTGGATGGGAAGTAGAGCTGCTAGGATTAGAACCAGCGCCCATATGAGATTTTGGCACATTCAAGGTGAGGACTTTAGCTGCTAGGCCACCACGCTGGGCCCCAAGCCTACCGTCCTTGATCAGCGTTCCTGCCATCCAGGGAGCTGTCAGGAAAGCCCCCCCAACACACACAGGTACACACATTGTCTCCCCCACTTGCCCCGTTTGAGATGGTGCCACAAACACAGCTCACTGCCCCCTTCCATGAAGTCCCCTGGGGCAAGAGCACCTGAAAGAGGCGAGCGGGAAGAAGATGCATCCCTAGGGAACACAGCACGTCTTCATCGGATAAGACGGCAAGAAAGGGCCCTCCGCACAGGGGTCTGCACCTGGGCATGACCAACGATATTCATCCCTCCTTCCTCTTTTTTTTATTTTTTTAAAAGATTTATTTTTATTATTTTTTTATTGGAAAGGCAGATATACAGAGAGGAGAGACAGAGAGGAAGATCTTCCGTCCGATGATTCACTCCCCAAGTGAGCGCAACGGCCGATGCTATGCCGATCCGAAGCCAGGAGCCTCTTCCGGGTCTCCCACGCGGGTGGAGGGTCCCAAAGCATTGGGCTGTCCTCGACTGCCTTCCCAGGCCACAGGCAGGGAGCTGGAAGGGAAGCGGGGCTGCCAGGATAGAACCGGCGCCCATATGGGATCCCAGGCGTGCAAGGAGAGGACCTTAACCACTGCGCTACTGCGCCGGGCCCCTCTTTTGTTTTTTTAAGAGCTATTTAGTTAGTTACTATTGGAAAGGCAGATTTACAGAGAGAAGGAGACATAGAAAGGTCTTTCACCCACTGGTTCATTCCTCAAGTGCCCGCAACAACCAGAACTGATCTGATCCGAAGCCAAGAACCAGGAGCTTCCTGTGGGTCTCCCACCCAGGTGCAGGATCCCAAAGCTTTGGGCTGTCCTCCACTGCTTTCCCAGACCACAAGCAGGGAGCTGGATGGGAAGTAGGGCTGCTGGGACACAGACCAGCACCCATATGGGATCCCGGCCATGTAAGGTGAGGATTTAACCACTGAGCTGTCATGCTGGGCCCATTTCTTCTTTCAACAAATGTATAATTATCCACACTTGGCTTTCAACTCCAGTTTCCAGCCAGTGCAGACTCTGGGTGGCAAGGGTGGCATCCAGTAATTGGGTTCTTGCCACCTACAGTGGGGCATTGACTTCAGCCTTAGGCCCTTGTGGGCATTCGGGGGATGAACCAGCAGATGGCACACACCACTTTCTTTCTCCCTCCTCTTTGCCTCAAGTACAAATAAATAGACTCTTTATAGAAAAAACAAGGAAAGGAAGAAAGAAAGAAACGTCAGCCAGGAAGGACAGACAGTAAATAAATTGCTTAAACTTAATTTGGCCAAAGATAGGAAGCAAGGAGGAAGTGCAGTGGCCCTCACCTTCATCCAGAAGACAGCAGGAGTGAGGGGAGGCCTCAGCTCTACTGCCCGCCCTTTGCAGTGGGCTCTCGGGTGTTACCCTGGGCTGGAGAGCCAGGAGCATACGTGACTTTTCTTTGGAAATCGGGTGGGGGGTGTGTCTCCTAGAAGGACGGCAAGCGCTGAGGGCTGTGGGACCCTTGGAAGGATTACAGGAAGCAGTGGGGTGTGCTAGCCCAGGCTGAGGAGGGTGGTCTGAGCCAGGAGCTTTGAGAGATGCCAGCTTGTGCAGCAGGTACAGCCAGGGTGAGCGAGGGGCACCCAGAGAGTGGGGGAAAGAGAGAGTTCCCTCTGGCATTTGACACTGTTGATGGAAACTCCTTCCAGTCCCTCTGCGTGCTGCTTTGGCCCAAGTGCTCAACTCACCCAGACTGGAGCGCAGTGGGCAGAAGCTCTGCAAGGGTTGGGTACAGGCTGGGTCAAGAAGGAGACACGGGGCCTGGTGCTGTGGCCTAGTGGCTAGGGTTCTCGCCTTGAACACACTGGGATACCATATGGTTGCCGGTTCTAAGCCTGGCGGCCTTGCTTCCCATCCAGCTCTCTGCTTGTGGTCTGGGAAGGCAGTCAAAGATGGCCCAAAGCCTTGGGATCCTGTATCCATGTGGGAGACCTGGAGGAGCTCCTGGCTCCTGGCTTCGGATCAACGTAGTACCGGCTGTTGCTGTCACTTGGGGAGTAAATCATCGGACGGAAGATCTTCCTCTCTGTGTAACTGACTTTGCCATAAAAATTTAAAAAAAAAAAAAAAAAAAAAAAAGGAGACATGAGTCCCACTCTTTCAGGTTTGCTGTCCCAGTGTAGATGTTTTCCCAGTACAGGTGCAAACTCTTCCTTGTCCCCGCTACCTCCACACAGTCCCTGCCCTGGGCAAATGCCAGTGGTGTGAGTGCAGTGGGCTTCCTGGGGGTGCAGGAGGGCAGTCCCATCCATTCCAGGGTCACCAGGATCAGGAAGCTTCCTGCGGGAGAGACCTGGAAGCCTAGCACAGGCTCCCAGGCCCTGCTGGGGCAGACTGAAGTTCCTGTGTCTGTCACCATTCCTGATCAACCCACATCAAAGGTGCTAGCTCTTGACCTTTCCCAGACTGTGAGTCCTTGAGGGAACATAGTGGAGGGAACTGGTCATGTGAGCACGTGAGGCTGCCTGCTGTGTGTCTAGGGACTGTGGGGAACTCTGGCTTCTATAAATCTGTGCAGCCCAGGGGTGGTCTTCCCAGGACTGGGCGCGGGGGTGTAGGTATCAGTAACTGCCCCTCACAGGACAGAAAGCGACAGCAGCTTTGAAGCCACATTGTCAGTTCCAGGAAGCCCCTAAAACATCCCTCCATTTGGGTTTCAGCATGGCCTGATTGCACACATCCCCCTGTCCACAGCTGACTACCGGGGCATATGCCCTTGCCAATGACTCTCCTCTTTTCTTGCCCTGGATTGCCTGTCTTTTCCGGGGCAAGACACCTGTGGGACGTGAGTGTGTGTGTGTGTGTGTGTGTGTACTGGTGGATTGACCAAAGTCACATCTGTATCTTTTTTTTTTCTTTAAGATTTATTTATTTATTGGAAAGTCAGATATATAGAGAGGAGGAGAGACAGAGAGGAAGATGTTCCATCCGATGATTCACTCCCCAAGTGGCTGCAATGGCTGAGCTGAACCAATCCAAAGCCAGGAGCCAGGAACCTCCCCCAGGTCTCCCACATGGGTGCAGGGTCCCAAGGCTTTGGGCCATCCTTGACTGTTTTCCCAGGCCACAAGGAGGGAGCTGGATGGGAAATGGAACTGCTGGGGTTCGAACCAGCAACCATATGGGATCCCAGCACATTCAAGACAAGGACTTTAGCCTAGCACTGCTTCCACTACTTTGGGCCCAATCCCCCTCGTTCTTAAGCCTTAACATCTAGTCACTCCTTTCCTCCTGTATTTTATACTTACTCAAATATGCCCTGTCATTAAATGAACCCTCCATGATTACCATACACAAGGTTGGAGATGGAATGGGCATTTGATTCAGGGCTGAAGATACCCCACATGGAGTGCTGGGATTTGTTTCCCAGCTCTGATGCCTAATTCCAGCTTCTGGATGATGCAGACCCCAAGAGGCAACGGTGTTCCTGCCACCCCTGATGGGGACCTGGACTCTGCCTGGCTTCCAGCTTTGATTCTGGTGGGAGGAGTAGGGGGCATTCAGGGAGTGTGCCAGTGGACGGGAGTGCTCTCACACTCTGTCTCCCAAATAAGTTTTGTAAAATTTGGAATAAAAGTCTAGTAAAATGGACTTATAGATAAGTTTATTTAGTACAAAACATTTGGAAATCCAGAGGTTCTGTCATAAGATGAATCGTGAAGTCTCCTTGTTCACTACAACAGCTCTCATGGTGGAAGCCCAGGGTCCCAACCTTAACCCAGAGACCACGTGCCCAGCTTGTACCTGGGGCGTCAGCTCTCCTTGCACCCCATCCTACTCAATCCACTCGGTCCCATACCCTCCGGCTCCCCTCACACTCCTTCCTTGTTCCCAGCGTGCTGTGGGGTGC